TTTGTGCATTTCTCTATTCGTGCTAGCTTTGTAATTGACCTCTGTGCTGTTAAGTTTACACGTAAATAAACATGAATTGAATTGAATTATTATTATTATTATTATTATTATTAACTCCTATGTGTATATATACATGTATTGTCCTTTCTCGCCACAAATGGCATAACTATTTGAAATTTACTTATTTTATTTTTCTCGCTTGTTAAAGCTAATTTCAATTTCTTTTGGAATTGATATTAATTAATTGCTATTATGCAGACTGCCTTATTTTGTATTTTGCTCTTTAACTACTTTTTTTGTATTTCTATGTACTCGTGCTAACTTTGTAATTGGCCACTGTGCTGTTAAGTTTGCACGTAAACAAACACGGATTGAATTATTATTATTATTATTCCTTTTTTGTGTTTGTTTCCTTTCTTCTACTCGTACTCACTCTGTAATTGGCCTTTGGGCTGTTGAGTTAGGAAGCAATAAAAGGAATTGAATTGAATTATTTTTATTACTGAATGCTTTCAGGTCGGATTGCTACATCCCCGAGGACAGAGCGTGGGGTTCGCTTACACAGGATGGCTCGTGGAATGGAATGATGGGCATGATACTGAGAGGAGAAGCTGAAATCTCTGTGGCCGAGTTCGCCATGACTGTTCTGAGGACAAGGGTTGTGGATTTCACTGTCCCACTCTTCGACACCAGGTGCACCCTTTTGTCTCTCTTTCTTCCGACAGGCTTTCCATTTCTTCTTCCTCCAGAATATAACCTTCTTCTGCCGTTGTTGGTAACGGTTTAGACTGTTCTAATTATCTCATTGAAGCTCTCCCTGCTTTTAAATAAGTTTGTATAATTCCGTTCGTACCTCATAGAAGGTACCTCGTCCGCATTGCAAAGACTGAAGTAAAAGTAAAGTGGAGGCCCGTAGGGTTCAGAGTTGTTGAAGTTCCCTCATTTTCTAGACAATCGGCTAACAGATGGCGATGAGGTTGTCGGCCCTATGCACCGGCCGCCCTTTACCCCCAAGAATATCCCTGGTACTCATTTCTATTAGAGACTGAGTAGGCCCCAGGGCCATAGTGCGGCTGGAAGGATTTGCTCATTTGAAAAAAATCCAATAACTCCATCGGGACTTGAACCCGCGACCTTCCGGCTTGTAACATAGTGGCTCAACTAACAACGCTACCGCGTGCCCCTCATTGCAAAGACTAACTAATCAAATTCGTTCTTTGCATCCTGTTGTATCGTAGAGAGTTAACCTCTGCAGTTCCGTCTACATAATTACTGTATATAAAATCAATAAAATGACAATGTTGATTTTACTCTGACAACAACATGTTTCGATCTATTGACAGTCCTCTCGTGGTTTCTCAATACAAGAACGATTATAAGACAACAAATAAACGCATCCATTTTCACAATTAAAAGCGTATATTTTGTAAATATTCACTCATAAAATACTGAAATGTAACATCTCTTAGCTAGGTTAGGTTCGTCATTGATTATGAAATAGCTTTAGTGTTGCTGGATATGTACCAGTGTTTGGGTAATGTATCTGTAAAATACATTATTTTTATTTGATAGGCCTACAAAAAACTAAACTCCGTGGCCTGTAGTCCACAAGCGAATTGTACTGACCGAACGACCGCCGCTTGTCGGCGATGTTAGTCCCAACTTTTGCGGATAGAGAGTATCGTGTGGTCAGCGCAACGGATCCCCACGGCAGTTAATCATGGTTCTCTAGACAGGATTGATGGACCTACAGCTTATTAAATTTGTAAACATTGTAAAGGTGTATAATTTTGCTTACAAGTACAGTGCGTTCAGTTGAGGGGGAAACTTCGCAACACCGCTGATCCGGCACTACATTTCTCACCGATTGCTGCTGTAACTGCTGATACCAGAATGAGTCATTAGCGCTGATAAACGCGCGCCGTTACAGTTACAGCAGCAATCTGTGAGGAATACTGGGCCCGGTCAACGGTGTTGCGAAGTTTCCTCCTTGATTGAACGCCCTGTATTTATGATGTGCGTGCGTATGCTGTTGTCACGTAGTATGTGTGACTATATAGGGGTTAGGTTGCTGAAATGATTTATTGACTCAGAACTACGAGCAACTACAGCTTCCTTGCTAATCTACATAATTAATAAATCACCACAGCACCCGCAAAGCCGTTTCTCAGTCTGCTGTGTCTTCATCAGCTGTTCGCTGGTAACGGCTTCTAACAGTGAAGATTTTTCAGTTTCCGCGCTCAAGTTCTCTCTTCACAGACTCCCGTACGAAACTGACTATCCTCTGACAATTGACTAAGTCTGAGTCTTACATTACGACCGACGGTCAGTCGGCCAGTCTGTCTTGGATTAAAGCACCCATCTGGGGCTTACGATCGGATCTTTATTACTGTCAGACTGTTGCAGGCTTGTTGATATAGGGCGCTCTCTCTGACGAGAGGAAGGGTATGTCGCTTACAATTGCTGCTGGCTCTTGTCAGCACAGTCAATCTCAGGTCCGAGTCCCGTGGGACTCGCGACAATATTTTACTATCTCAGATTCGAAACTTCCCTTTTCGTCGCCGCCTACTACTCGCAGGTGGTAATCGACCCCGCCTACACACGGGATTCTCGTAACTTCCCGCTAATAATATCTCGGCACGAACCACATAGAAAACACAGCTCTTCCATTTTTGCTTCCAACTGTTACATTCCCATCTGGACATATGGGATTGAACTGTGGGGATGCAGTAAACCCTTAAATACGAAAGTTTTATAAACGTTCCAGCCAAAAATGTTACGCTCCATGGTTCGTATCCAATCAAACCCTTCATGCAGATCTCAGAATACCCTTCATAAAGGAAGTCATCAACAAGAAAGCCATCAGATATAGAGATCGCATCGTTGACCACGACAACCATTTAATAAATGAACTCGCCGCCCAACCCCTGGCGAACAGAAGACTCCAACGCCTTTGGCCGGAAGACCTAATCTATGAGACGCGTGAAGACTCACCAGTGGATGGTAATCACAACAAGCTACTACGGCGCCCGAACATTTACCTATTGCTCTGTTGTCACTAGAGTAGATTGTAAATTAGCAATCAAATAAATAAAAAAGTTACATTATCAAAAATCTGCTGCCTAGCAATGGTAACTTGTTTACCGAGCCGTTTACATAGTCACTGCTTAGCAACAATCTCCACGCCACAATATGCTCTGTGGTTTAAAGGCTTTGTGTATAATACCTTCGGGTAGAAACATTAAATTGTTTTTTCTTAGACTTCATTTACAATAATCTGCCGCTGACTGTACACTGAATGTAACAACACCAAATCTAACATACACCCATTCGGCTGGTAAGTAATATCAGATAAGCGGTATCATGAATGTAGGTATACCACAGACTAATTAGGCCATATTTATCGACAATATTCCAACGAAGTAGTTACTGCAGAACGGTTACTAACCAAAGATTCTGATCACAAAAATCTTGATCCACTATATTATACCATACAGCCCACATTATGAAGTGCACGTAAGTGAAATTATACTCCATTACAGCGTTTACAGATTTAATATGCTACACCAAAACTACAATATCTTTACACCACACCAACACAAATCTAGAAGACTGACATACAACAGTGGCACATTTCCAGCAGCTTCTTGTTAATGAATGGAGAACCTAACCTCGTTAAGGGATTTTACATTTTTAATTTTCTTCTCTTTTTTTTACTTAGTTATTGGAGAGGGTGGGTTTCCCCATGCACTTAGACCAGTATTGGTCCATTGTGCTTCCCTCTACGATATTTTACCAGTCCACAAATTTGGCAGAAGGTGGTTCACATGGGGGGGGGGCGATTATATTGAAGGAATATAAGTGTGTTTACCTCAAGTAATAAAGTCATTTCAGAACTATAGAAGTGTTGCCACTATTTTTTATCTGACCTATATATTTTTCCCATTGCCTTTTTGTGATCCGACTGTGACACGCCAAACAATCTGATGTGTGCAGACGGACAGCCTTTGTGACCCAACGCAAACGCTTTCGAAGCCTAAGAAATAAAGAACAGGCTAAACGTCCAGAAGTAACTGGGACATCAAAATTTGTTCATCTTTGCTACATCTGATGCCTGGCGGTGTTCGCAGAACAATATTTTCGCGCTAAGAAAGGCCAAAGGGAATCCCCTATCTGTAGGTAAGCTTTACGCTCTTCTAAACAGCAGACTCTCTGCTTGTGCATTCCAGGAACTGTGTGCTGATCAGGCAGAACGGAGATAAGGATGTCATCTGGCACGGCTTCCTGGAACCGTTTAGTCCTCAGCTCTGGATGCTGGTGATACTGACTAAACTGGTGATTGTCCTCTGCCTGAAGACGTTTAACCACATAAAGCTGCGGTTCTTCGGAAGAATGTCATCAGAGTCACCAGACTCACACTGCGCTGTCTACGTCATGGGCGTGTTCTACATGCAAGGTCAGCAGCGACTTTCGTATCTAACTGACTGCTTGAGTAAGTGACTGACCAAAGTTGTGAAAATGAACTCACTAGATATTAGCCTGTATGTGTGGCTAACTCAGTGCCTGAGATCGCAAAACACAGGCAAATGGATTAACCTCCACCGCGTATCCTTCCAAATTTACGCTCCCNCGCCCCCCCCCCCCCGCGAGTCTCTCTCTGTTATATTTAATTCCCCTCGCCAAGACATGTTCTTCACAAGAACGCTAGTAGTAGCAACTTTGTGCTGGTTGACATAGGCCGGAAGAGCCCGGAGAGGAGTAAAGCAGTAAACAGACTGTAGGAATGCTACGGCTTCGATATTCTCAGCACTCACGGGGACCCTTTCCACGAGTCATTATGACTAAATGAATGAGACACTTCCTGTCAGAGCAAATAATAAATGCCGATTTACCGACTGACTAATTCGCTTATTAATTTCTTGGACACCTGACTAAGTAATTAGTTAAAGCAACTGTTCGTTTGGCTGTGACATAACGAAGGCTTTTAGTCACCTGTTCTCATTTTCTACCTGGGTTCGTGTCAGGGGCAATCCATGTGAGATTTATGTGGCAAGTTTTTCTGACCGTACAACATGCTCATCTATTATCCATAGCTCGGTCAATCGGTCCATTGGTGTCAGCAGTGCCGAGGGATTTATTCTCACAACCCCTTCCCCCGAAACAAAATAACTGTCTTCTTAGTAGAACATCCTGAAATTTCAACATCATAGTACTACATCTTAGACTTCGACGACACCCTAAGACAGTTTAATACTCCTTCCATCTCAGTCTCAGTCTTCCAAGTGGTCATTTTCTTAAGGGGTTTCCCAGATTTGCCTTATTTTCATCACACAAGCTACAGCAAATAAGTAAGTTAAGTGTTTTTCAGGCGTGAACAGGCAGACGCGATTCTACTCACAGAGGGTGCTGTATCTCGTGGCGCAGCTAACGGCGCTGACCGTGTACACAGCATACGCGGCCTTCCTGATCTCCTTCCTCACCGTGCAGAAGTTCTCACTTCCTTTCAACTCTCTACGGGAACTCATCGACATTGGTTCTTACCGGCTGGGAGTTCTGGCGAATTCCGCTCACATTGACGACTTCAAAGTGAGTCATGTGATTCTAGACCTGTTTTGGAAACCGTTTATGATCCATGTACCTGAAAATGGCAGTGAGATTTCTCTTGTCACACCTGTACTCTCTTGCCTTGTACATTTGAGAAAATAATCTAAAAGAAATATTTCTGTGTCGAATTCGGATCTCTGAGAATGTTACAGATGTTATTACTTAGAGTTACAGAGTTAAATCAAACGGAACATTGTTAGATGTTTACCAAACTGACATATCATATTAGATAGCAGTCTTTATAGAAATGAACTTTCAGTTCCTAAAAGCAAGAGGAATATTTGACTTGCCTTGCTCCATGGCTTTAGTTATTCTGTTCGTAACTTGGAAGAACCGAAGAAAAATAAGAAATATGAAATCAGGATTGCAAACCTCAGGGCTGATATTAGATTGCAGGATAAAAGGCAGCCAATCTTTGTACCACAGTGTTTGGTCTTGCCTTAGCATATCTGTTTATTTAGGGCGAAAACAACCACCAACACTTGCAATAATGCTCAAATGTCTGCTCATTATTTATTCTTTAATACACAGTCCTATTCGTGGGAGGAAACAAGTGGCTTGTAATAAAAGTACGACAAATACGCACCTCGTAAGAAGGTACCATCTGCGCAGTAACAGATTCCGTATGAACTAAGAGAAAGGGGCTTCCCTCCTTCTCTGTAGTCTCTTCCACAAACGCCTCGTTCGCTCGCGAATACGCGGGGTCGTTCTAGAATGACTCTGGGCACAAAACCGGGATTACAGGGCAAGGAGAGGGCAGTCTTGAGTTCAATTGTAATCTCACTGCGAGTATAGAAGCGCCGTTGAACGGTCATGTGTATAAAACTAGAAGTGAAGCCGAAAGTTCTGTGAAAAACAAATTGATGCATTGCTAGGTGCAGGAAGAGGACAGTGCATTGTCGTACGGTGAAATAGTAGTGAGGTAATATCTGTTCTAAAACCAGGTAAATATTACAACACAGTATACAAACTTCTGTCTTCCTGAAGATTTGAGGTTTTCACGGCGGTGACTATGAAGTATGCAGTCTTCTGGGATGTGGCGCCGTATAGATATTGTGTTAACCGACGTTTCAGAGGAACGTATCGCCTCCATCTTCAGCATCTGCTCACTCTGGTTCGCTCGCGGATTTCTTCTTTTTCTACCCTGAAGATGGAGACGATGCATCCTCCGAAACGTCGGTTAACACAATATCTATACGGCGCCCATCCCAGAAGACTGCTTTCTTCTCTCTGTTCGTCGGCATCTCTGTCTCTCTCACTTTCCTCCTCCCCAAAGCACATCCTGCAAAAAGTGATAAGCACCAGAAGTGTTCTTCTTGGAGAGATAACTCCGAGTAAGTCGTCCATTTTGCAGTTACACGTATGGCTTCGAGTCTAGATGAAATTCTTTCCCTCCTAAGAAAGCATAGAATTATCACGCTGCAAAGCAAATATAAATTTTAAAAACATATGCTTAAAATGAAGATAGTCCCAAATTATGCTCGCATATAAAACACTAATACATAGCATAGCAACAAAAAAACAAACAAACGTAAGCACAAACGTTAGGAATAAAGAACGACAAGACATTTCTTTACAAAAAGAAACAGCTTCACCACAAGGGGATTTATTGCTTATATATGCTAACGGAAAGACATGCAAACACACCTGGAGTCACGTAGAACAATCAGTAAATAAAAGAGTTACAAGACAAAATGAAAATAATACACAAAAATAAAACAAAAAGTATGCAACTTATCCAAATTGCAAATAAAACACAACAAAAGAGAAAACAATTCCACAGTACTATAAACACCAGACACCCATTTTACGCAAGAAGAGTTACAATTACTAAGAAAGGGCTGAAAAATAATTTATACCAAAACAGAGAAATTGGTTAGAAATATTAGCGTTAGAAGCAGGAACTGCAATATGTAAGATAGATGTTATATAACAACTCTATAGATCTATATAGACAAAAAACTATTAAAAAGATCGACCCGGAAGATAATAAAAACAATATAATAAGAAAAATGAAAATTAATAACAAATTAGCACAAGAATGCCATCTTCTGGAATGTGGCGCCGTGTAGTTCTTGTGCGAACTGACGTTGCCTTTAGCTCAGGCAACGTGCGAGGGAGAGTCAGTGAATACGTAAAGCAGTTGCATTTGACGTCATAGGTTTTCTGTGTGTCTCACTAGGTAGCATCGCAGTCCAGCTTCTTGAGAGTATAGGTAACAGACGCGCATGACCATGTTCAGAGGCTGGTTTAAATTGTCAAATTGGCCACCTTGCTTGAGATCGTACTACAGAAGGGCTGAGTTCTGCTGTGGGAAGTGTTTGTCGCTTAAAGCGGTTCACAACTGGGTCGAGGAATTCTCTCAAGGGCGTTCGAAAGACGCGGATGATGCCAGACCAAGTTGCCCTGACGAGATTGCTGTAGCGGGTGGAAGAGTTGGAGCTGATTTGAGGATAACTATAAACAGTGTAGCAACTGCACTAGGATGTACCCATGGCTTAGCTTAATGCATGATCTTCTGAAGTTTCGGAAAAGATGAGTGCGGTCTATGTTCAGAGACCTAAAGGATCGAGAAAAAAAATCTGTCCTTGCAACATCTCTTATGGTATGCAGATAAAGGAAAAGATATGCTTAACAAGATTGTAGCTGGGGGCGACACATGGTCCCATTACTACCAACCCCAATCAAAGCCTTGCTCAATGCAATGGTGGTAAAAGTTCCGTTGATGACGAAAGGGTTGAAACGGGGGTGCGGAAGTGACAGAGACAACAGTCAAAAGACTTCTATGTTGCGGGTTTCTACACACTGGTAAAGTGACGAGACAAGTGTTTCAGTGCTGGTGGAGGATATGTCGAGAAATAAATGTTTTTTTTTTCCAGTTTCGAATATCACATGTTTTACGTGTTGTATCCGTTTGTGGCCTATTTCCTGACTCTCCTTCGTAGCGTAGAGTGGTAGGATGGTAAGTAACTTTACATTTAAACGGAAAATGTGAGGACGGAAACGTAGCTTTTTAATTTAATGAAATATCTAGGTATCCGCCTGGATTTATGTGTATATTGTTTCATTTATGTACTTTGAATTGATTGATATATCCAACAACACAGATCGTGAGAGCCTCAAATGATGATTAGTCGATTGAGAATCTGAAGGGATTTAAAAGGAAAATAGTATAGCCAAATTTAATGTAATACCGAGCAATTTGTGGGCACGTGGTACCGTAGCTGGTTGAGGCACTATGCTTCAACCCGGAAGGTCGCGGGTTTCACTCCCGATGAGATAATTGGATATTTCAGTTGACATAATACTTCCAGCCGCATTGTATCCCTGGGTTCAACTCAGCCTCCAACAGAAATGAATACAAGGAATGCTCCTCGGGATAAAGGGCGGGCGACGCGTAAGGCTGGCAACCTCACTGTCATCTGTGAGCCGATTGTATAGAAAATGTGGGAGCCTCGACGTCTCACAACTCTATGGTCCTCCTCGGCCTGTTACAAGGATATCTTTACCTTTACCTTTTATCGAGGAATTCTTTGCCTTTATTCATTTATTCTCTTATACACGAATGATTAACGAAAATTTCAATACCTCTAATTTTATAATTTAGAAAAGTAGGATGATTAGTGGATATATGTCGATTTAGCAACTTAGGCATATGCCAACAATGTTAGTGACTATGATATGGAAGTAATTCGCAGTTGTCTGTGGCAGAATGCAACTGATGCCCTGATGAAGGAAGTGTACGCCAAGCTTATAGCCCCTGAAGAGGATCACCTACCGATATCTATCGAGGAAGGTATGCAACGAGTCTGTGACATCGACAACTACGCATTCATGACGACACTTGAAGTAGCCCTGGGGCTGCAGAACAAAATCACCTGCAAACTGTCCAGTGTCCTGGGCGCATCCATACCCGAAAGCTTGACCATGACCATTGCCAAGCGGAGCCCCTATCGGGGTCTCATTAATTACAAGTGGGTACCACGTCCCTCTGTCTGTCCATCCGTGTCTTTTATCTCTGAAACTTCTGAACGGAATTAGATGGAAATTTATATTGTGTGTTTACAATGAAAGTAAGGAGAAGAACAATATATTTTATTTGGCTTCATGAGGCAGTTCAAGTATATAATTTTTTTTATTATTTAATTGAACATGAGGCCATGAAGACGTAAGGAAGAGTGGACGTATAATTTCAAAGGTTCTTAACCTCAACACTTCATGAAGGTGAGTGACGCAGTTCATGTCATCCCAACACAAGAGCCGGCAATACGTATTGAACTGGAGGCGAGGTAAGCACGAGAACCCCTCTGAGCCTTGTCCAGAAGAGAAAAGGCTCGTGTAGGACCTGAGACTCTCAAAGCCGCGAATAGTACAGGATGGGGCGCAGAAACTTCCTTTTCGTGAAGGGAGAGGAGGTCGCAGAAAAGTGGGGATAGGCTCGGCGAACGCAGCAGTCGCGGAAGTGTCTGTCTAATACCCCTCAGTAGGAAACATGAGATGGACGAGTGAGCAGCGTGCGTTTGCTGCCGAAGCCTATTTTTCGAACAACCATTCCTACGTGGCGGTGCAGCGTGCGTTCCGTACTCACTTCGGAATTAAGCCCAGAGGTCCGGTTCCCGACCGGAAAGCGATTGTTTTGTGGGTAGAGAACTTTAGGACAACCGAGAATGTGGTGAAAATATCATCAGGACGACAACGGACCTTTACGACGCCAGAAAATGTGGAGGCAGTTCGACAGTCAATTTTGAGATCTTTTTCGAACCAGTTCTTGAAGAAATGCATCTAGCAAATGTCTGGTTCCAACAGGAGGGTGCCATGGCCCACACAGCCCGAGTTTCGATGACAGTTTTGAGGGCCAAGTTCCCCGGACGGCTCATCTCGCTTCGAGGTGACATCCCGTGGGCAGCGCACTCACCTGATCTAACGCCCTGTGANTGATTTTTTTTATGGGGATACCTCAAGGCAGAGGTTTTTAAACATCGCCCCACAAACCTGCTTCAGCTGAAGAATGTTATTCGGCAGGAAGTAGCCCAAATTCCGGTGCACATGTTGGAACGTGCAGAGGGGAACTTGAGAAAACGGTTGCATCAGTGCATAGAGAACGGTGGCCACCACCTTCAAAATATTTTGTTTAAAACTACATGATTTGAAACTATAAAGTATGTTCTTTCATTAGCTAAACATAAATTTTGTCTATCAGCAATAATTTTTCTTTTATTCGCCTTCAAAAAAGGAAGTTTCTGCGCCCCACTCTGTATTATCTTCTGGGATATAACGGCGTGTAGTCCGTTGTTAGTCAACCGACGTGGCAGCAGGCAGCTGGTGGCAAGCAGAAAACTACTTGCCATCTGTTTTCACGCTGGAATCTTGCTCAGTTTATTCTTCCACCCTGAAGATGGAGACGATATGTGTCTCCGAAACGTTGGTTGACTTTCAGCGGACCCCACGACGTTACTCGTATATCCCAGAAGATATTACTCTTCAGATAATGCTCCTGCCCCTACCGTGAATCGAACTCCCGGTTCTGAGTTCTCCACTCCGTAACTTAGTCGCTGCACTGACTTAGCTACGTACTGGAAAAAATATAAATTTTGTGACGATGGTACAGTAACACAAATATCATGTTTCTGGTCATTATAGATCGTCATGTTTTTATCTAAAACACAATGTTTTGGAGACTGGATTCTGCCTCCTTCTTCAGGAGAAACACTCAGTTGGGTACAATCGAGAAATCTACTCCCTATCCCCAGACACCTACACCAACACAAGATAGGGTATACAAAGCAAGCACAACATAAACCATTTGTGAGAGTTAAGACAAAATATTAAACATTAAATATATCCACATGTTTGAGGCTTAGCACCAGAGCACTGTCACAGTAGAAGTCATCATTGGAGAGATAAATTCTCTGTGTGGTACCAACATAAAAACACTAATATCCCCACTACAATGGACGGGATTGTAATATTTTTATTTCTGGTGTGATGACGGGAGTCGAGATAAGGGAAATGTCCGAGCTGGATTGACTGATCGGATGGTCTATGTGAGATACATGTGTGGAGTCCTACAGGAAATACAAGGAATCAGCCCACATGTCTCTGAGAGACCAAACGATCAGTCAATTCAGCTTGAGAATTTCTCTCATCTGAACTCCCGTTATCAGGGCAGAAGTAAAAAGATTACAATTCCATCCAATGTAGTTTGAGTTGGAAACTTTGTTTTTTTATGTTGGTGCCATAGGATTACAGAGAAAATTTCTCTTCAATGATGACTTCTATTCTGATTTTTTTTTCTAGTGGGGTGGGACTAAATCCCTTGTAGTGCGGCCACTTCTGGCCTCATATATGAAGAGATTTTAATGTTTCAATATTTTCCCCTAACTCTCGCAGATGGATTATGCTGTACTTGCTTTGTATACCTATCTTGTGTTGGTGCATGTTACTGGAGATAAAGAGTAGCTTTCTCGACTGGGCCCAACTGAGCAGGTTTCACCTGAATACGGAGACAGAGTCCAGTCTCCAAAACAGGATAATGTCCAGAAATACAGCATTTATACTTGTTGAATAGTCAATTCCTCTCTCTGAAAGTAAGTAGAGGGCCAGAGATGAAGCCCAAACTTGAAGACGGCGAATGCCATAGTATGCTGCCTGGTCAGGGCTATCAGACACGAAGGGGAGAGATAATAGATGAGTGTGGGTAAAGGAGAAATGAAGATAAGAAAGGACAAATCGAAGAAAACTCGGAGACACCCCCTTGTCCGGTGTCAAAATATGTACCATGAATCTTACTTGATGTCATTCGGGGCTAACCTAAGTCTCCGTGGTGAGACAATTAATGTCTTCAGGAATCTTGGGTCGTGTAGTCTCTTAGAAAGATACTAGCGTCTCGGAAGAAAATTCTTTCTTCCTTTGCCTTCAGGTTAGAAGAGTAAGTCTAATGTTTAGAACCCTGGTACAAGAACAAGGACCTCAACGACCAATCAGAGTGACGGAAAAGAGTAAATGCATTTGGCTCATATTTCAGGAGGGCATTGCGACTGGCAACGAAAGAGTTTGGATGAATGAAGGGATCCGGAGTAACAGAGTAAAAACAGTGGCCTTCAAAACAGCTCATTGAAGAGCAAACTGCTTACGAGAAGAGAGAAACATTAATAACAGCAGGAACAAAGAGCGGAGAAGGGGAGGAAACAAGAAAAGAAGAAAATGGAGGAGTAGAAAAGAGGAAAGATAAAAAGGCAAAGCAATCCCTGTAAGAGGCTGTGGAGGCCCGTAGGGTTATGTGACGTCAAGGCTCCCACATTATTCTAGAGAGAGGGCTCACAGATGGCGTTGAGGTATCAGCCCTTTAGCTCCAGGAATATTCCTGGTACTCATTTCCTTTAGAGGCTGAGTCGACTCCAGGGCCATACTGCTGCCCGAAGGATTAGGTGGATTGAGAAATACAATGACTTAATCGGAAATCTAACCCGCGGCCTTATGGCTTATAGCCAGACCAACTATGCTACGAAATGATAAAACAAGTAAACGTACATTGTGCGGATCTAGGATAAAGCAGTCGGTATTGCGAATGGTGAGAGGCTGGAAGACAGAGGGATTTGAGTTCGATTCCTGGTAAGGATAAGAACTTTCTCTTCTGCACAACCTTCAGACCGGCTTTGGGGTCCACACAGCCTCCTATTCGATGGGTACCGAGGTCCTTTCTCCAGATGTAAAGCAGCCGGCGCGTGAAGCATATCACTTCAACTCAAACTACTGCCGAGGTCAAAAGCGTGGAGCTTACATCCACTCCCCCATACGCCTTCATGGTTTGGTGCTTAATTAATTAAGCTTGTCTTCATACACAGTTCTGCCTACCCCTGCTATTCCTCAGGCTCTCCTGTTTCAGCTTACAGGCCATGTTCCGCAGTGGCACCATCAAGAGGTTGAAGCAACGGTCGTGGCCCAGCAAGCTGCTCCCTGAGAGACCACTTTGGCACTCAGTGGACTTCTCCAGCATACTTCCCATCTTCGCAATTCTGGGTGCCGGGTTCGTGGCATCTCTGCTGCTCCAAACAGCCGAGATTCTTGTCGCAGGGCGACGCAATCGTGTATCAACCGTTTAAAAATATTACCACCCGAGGAAATGTTTGCCTCCCACGGATATTAAAACTGCAGTAAAATTTCCCAGTGCGTCGCTGTTTTTCTAACAGCTATTTTATTGTATAGTACTTCAAATAGACTATTCGGTAGATCTAGGCTTTCGTAGTAGAATATTGTTACATGTAGGCCCGTTTCTAGGCAACGACTAAGAATCAAAACAACTAGACAACGGCCGTTGCTAGACAGAGACCCGTAAACTGCAACAGACTAGCGGTGTTTTCTGTGCGGTCAGTGCCGAAATATTATAAACAGGATAGTTAGTACAGTAGAGGCGTTGAGGAGGATTAGAATAAATCCACCGTAGCCGTGAAAGGTGTAAGAGGCGGCTAAATGGAACCCACTGCGTGGGGTTCTAACGCGGCCACCCTGTTCCTGAGAGATATGAATACGGGGACCTCCCCCGCCCCCGATTGGGAAAGTCTCGAATGTTTGATTGTAAAATATGGTCAGGAGTCCAGCGGGACTCGGACAAAAGAATGACTGCGCTGGCGAGGCTCAACAGTAGTTGTGAACGACAGACCGGTCCTCTCGTCAGAGAGGACACTCCACATCAACAAACCAGAAATTGTTTGACTAATAAAAATTGGGTTTGGGCCCCAGATTGGTTCTTGGCACCAAGACAGACTGACCGACTGACAGTCGGTCGTAACATAGCTTTGACTTTGAGAGTCAGTCAGTTGAGTTCAGTTAGTTTGTTGAGTGACTGTGGACGTTAGTGTGCGTGTAACAGTGGCCTGTAAAGTGTAGTCACATGCTGTATCAGAGTCCAATAAATCGGCTCATTAATCCAAAACGCAAATATAGTCACACTCAATCACGTGATAATATTATTG